CCCTTCAACAGGAACCATTGACATGATGGCTACCGCCCCTCGGCATGGTGGCATGCACAGCACCGTCACAGCGGCTGCCGGTGATTCCCTCCTTGCCGCCTCGGGTAAATATCATGTTACTATCATTCAGGATGCAGCAGTTGCGGCAGGCCGTGATGTGGTGGACAAGGGCGGGGACGGCCACAGCAGCGACCACCTGTCTGACATCCATGATGATGAGGTTGATGGCTACCTAGCCACCAACGAAGAGGCGAGCGTGCGGAGGCAGCTGTGGCTTGAGATGAATAGGGACTGGGTTGAGCTGCAGGAGGCAAAGAAGGCGGCGGAGGCAGCCGAAGACAAACGAGCAGGGTTGGCCCGACCTAAGCGCAAGTATTTGCGCAAGGTGGGACATGACGGGGCGGAGGGTTTGGGCCCGAGACTGATCGTCTGTTATGAAGTTGTTATGGAATGACTCCTGGGATTGGAATGATTCTTGCGTTTAACATCATGTTGGGAAAGCTTTGCATGTTGCATGATGAATGCATAATGTGCTAGAAGAACAGGCTTCCCTGCATCTTCAGTGCATGCAGCATGGTTTGTTACCATGATTCCTGTGCGCATACCATTGCAGAAAGCTGAAGTTCCGGCTGCAGAAGATGCTGCTGGTGCAACACGCAACCTTTTAGCATCGAAGAAGTTGTCGAACAAGATAAACTATGGCGCCCTGGCGGACTTGTTTGGCAGCTGTACTTCCGTGCCAGGTGATGATGCAGCATGGCGGCCCGACAACACCATGCGGAGTATGAGCCCCAGGGAAACCTGCACACTCGAGGATGATGCAGCTCCATCAGCTGCTTACAGCTTAGCTGGCTTGGGTGCAGATGCTATGCAGTCTAGGGTTGCCAGGAAACCTGCTGGGGGGTCGGCTGTGAGTTTGGGGGCAGATGGTAAGTGCACACCAGATCTCGAGGACGATAAGTGCCGGTTAGATGGACTTGGAGGTCGTGGGTTTATTGGGTCTCTGACATTCATGCGGGAGGCCGGCAGGATGAAGGGTGCAGATGCACGAGCCCGGCTGCAAAGCCTGAGTCTAAAGCGTCATGTGCAGTGAGGGTGTGCTGATTTTAGCAGAGAAGTACGAATAGCAGAGAAGGCAAGTTCTTCTGACAAAGAATCATAATTAGTGACAAGTATTCTTTTATCGGTTTTCTACCGTTTGAGCCAGGGAAGCAGGTTCACGTATGGCAATGGGTCAAACAAGTTGGAATCATGACTTCGTGTCTGCTTCACCTTTGCTGGTGGCCCACTGATGGGAAATTACGTAGGCATTGCAAACATAAGTGTGTGTGATTTACATGGTCGTGGGGTGTATTCCCCGTACACGCCTGCTAGATCGCCTATAAGCACCGTCCTACCTCGACAAAGCAAGTGATAAAGGAGACTAACGACCAAAAGGAACGATAGAGTTGCGTTGGGACCACATGTGTTCCAGCATCTTTGCCAGACGTTCAGGTTCCCACTTCATAGCGTCCTTCATGTGCTCGACACGCGGAAAATTCAGATCTAATTTTGTCTCTCAAATTTAGGTTTTGGAACTCTGTGGTTAAGAGGCCGGGAACGTTGTGTCACCGGGCATTTGTCGCTGACCTGGAGTTGGCACTTGGGGGCGCCACTGAGTGTTGGGCTAGCAAGGTACTAGCCTTTCTTACTAGCTTAGGAGTGGAACCCCCCACTAATACGCGCGGTAATGATCTTATATCGTACTACACCACCCTTAAATTGCCAGTCGAGAGCATTCTTAAGGTTTTTGCCAAGCGGCTTGATGCTCGGTGGGAGTGCCCGAATACCTTGGGTGACCCCCGCGTCTTCCCCATAGGAATTACCGGAGCCAAGGCGTGTCGCTATATGAACTGGATGGGAGCTGCCCCGTCAAGGGGTGCGCGTCTTGATTGGTTGGAGCACACTAAAGGGACCATGCCCCAGCGACTTCATCATGTGCTCATGCGTTTTCCGTTAGGCTGTTGGGAGTTAGAGGTTAATAGGCCTAATGGGCGTGAGCGCACCGCGCGTACCTGCAGGCTTTGTGACTGTGGAGCGGTTGAAGATGAGTTGCATGTTTTCGAAGAATGTCCCGCTTACAAGAGCATACGGACTAAGTATGATGGTGACCTAGTCCTTACGGGGCGCAGCATGCGCACCACTATGACTGAGGCGCCACCCCTGGCATTGGCCAGGTACCTCTCGGAAATCTGGGAGGCCAGACATGTCGCGCTGGGGCGCTTCGCCCTGAAGCGGACGAGGGAGAATGAAGATGACCTCCCGCGTACCCGCATCAATATCAATACAACGTCCATGGTCCCCCGGCTTTTACGGACACACCCGCACTTGTGTGCGGAACTTGTAACTTGTAACTTGTAACTTTGTCGTACACTGGATAGTCCGTGCTGCTCATCATCAATATGGCTATCAGTGCCGCAGGGGGGGGCATACCCTAGGTGTATAATGCCATCCCTTGCGCGCTCTGTTCGCCACGAATGCCCAGCAGCAAAGCCTAAACTGCATAAGCTTGCGATTTGCTGAACGGGGGATAAACGTTGTGATATGCAGGAGCACCTCCTTCCTGCCTACTTGCTTGGCCGCCAGACCCATCCAATGCTTATACTTCGCCATGTGAATTCCTGGTTGCTTGCCGTCTGACAGGTACACGTCCGTCTGAGCATCTAGATCCAACCACTCATCAATCGATCCTTGGACTCCCAACACCACACCTTCTGGGAATGGCCTCTTCATTAGCCCTTGCGGGGCCTCTTTCCATACGTCGTGCCCCAGAAAACTTAGAAAACGGAGGACTCCCATCCGGCAGCTTCTGGGTTGGAGAGCTTCTCCGATCTCCTATCGCAAAACTTGGTGTGCCACAGACCCACGCTGTAAACGGACACGGTTCCAAAACCTCACAAACGTGGTAGTGTAGGGATAGCCAGATGGCTGTCTCCTGTGTTAGCACGCTCACACAACCTGAGATACCAGTCGTGGTATGAGTTCCTCCACAAGAACTTGGTGGAACAGCTCCACTATGCCGGAGCTAAATAACAGGACTGACGAGGAGGTGCAGCAACAGCTACCCTAGTTCTGAGCTATAGCCTCAGTTGGCTTACGGCTCGGCCTGAGGGATGCAAAGTGGTCCTAATCCTCTAATCCAGGGGGTGGGTACCGGTCAGCAATCCTCTAATCTCAACAGGGGTGGACCACTTCTAATTCCTAATCCAGAGTGGTGGTCTAATCCATACCCTAGGGGCGGGGTTCTAATCCTAATCCTGTGGCCGGGTCCCAATCCCAAGCCTGGGGGGGGGGGTCCCAATCCTAATCCTGGGGCCGGACTGCAATTCTAACTCTGAGGCTGGGGTCCCAATCCTAATCCTGTTGGTCGTGTCGTAATCCTTATCGTGGAGCTGTCATCGTGTGACTGATTCGGTTAAACCTTAATTTTGGCTGGGGGGCCCAATCCTAATAGAAGGGTGCCGTGACACGGAAACACACAGTGCCATACAGGCGCGAGGCGATGGCAATGCAAGTGCGTAAAAGAACCCAATGCAATTTTACAGCGGGTATATGATCAAACGAATTAAAACTTGAAACATAAAAAGCAGGCTGACGAAGCTGCGCACCCTGGGTAAAATGCACGTTGAGAGGTGAACCAATGGTTCACCTCTCACACTTGCAGCGCGCAGATCTTCATTGCCATAAATACCAGGGGCTTTCACAGCTATGAAGCACAACCCAATAAGCAGGACATGCCTCGTGAAACGATGTCGACCTATGATGTTGAGTCAGTAATGTTAGCACGTGCGCATAGTAGAAGAATTATTAATACAGTCTCCGACATTTAACCTACTAATAGTTTATAAGGACGCATATTTATCGCCACGCGACTGCCTTTGGAAGCGTCCCTCAATGTCGTGCAGTTGGTTCCGGAGGAGACGCGGACGCCATCCATACCTCTTCGTGTCTAGGCCGTCTTCGTCAATTTTTGCAGATTGTTTTATCGCAGTTTTACTGATCAGCAGACGCCTGTCAGAAGCATGGCTGGAGCTCCTGGAGCGTATGGCTTCCGTGATCAGGAGCATGAGCGCACACATCACACGCGACATCACTTAGTATGACATGGCATAGCAACTTTCTAACCCAGTCTGAACGGTAGCTGGAGGGGCTGGGATTTGATACTCCTCCTACACAGCAGTATCCTAATTGCCAATCATTGCAGTGCGTTAATCTTAATCCAATACCAGTGTACTAATCGTAATTCTGGATATAGGTATTTATCCTAATCCTGGAGCCGGGTCCCAATCCTAATCCTACACTCGGGTCCTCATCCTAAACCTGGCCTCAGCTTTGTATCCTAATCCTGCCCCTCTTTCCGAATTTTAATTTCTGCCTGACCGGTACCCGAACCCAATCCCTAATCTTTGCATCCCTCTGGCTCGGCAGCTGTTGCTGGTTCCAAACGGGGGAAGCTTAGGGCAAATGGCAAGAAATGGCAAATGCATATATTGATATAACTAGTGATAGAAACAAATATTCATCAAACAAATTGGAGGTTGGCGCATTTGTAGCGGAGAACCGTAAGGCCTAGTGGAAACACCCCGCACACTAACAGGGTGTTTACACGTGGAAGTCTGTTAGCGACCTTTTTAAAAATTCTCACCCTGGACGTCAGGTTTGCACGTTCTGTTTCGCAATATCACATATTCTATATAAATAAATGATAGAAATGCAAAAGGTTTGACGGAAGGCGGAGGGACGGCGACGAACGGGGGGCCCATGTGGAGACAAGGCCCTTGTTAAACGTCCAATAAGTCCGCAAAAGCTAAAGCTGCCCCGAACCAGCTTTAAGCATTGTTAACTTTGAGCGCGGAAAATGTCGTGACTTCTTTTTAAATTTTAATATCACCCGGTCTTTGCTTTGCTTTCCGTCTACTACCCTGACTGCTTGCCGACTTTCGCCGTTGACCAATACGGAAATGTCGCAGAACCAGTCGCCCTCGCCGGTTCCGTCTGAGAACTTTCCTACTTCACTGCACAATGCCTTAATGGCAACCATTCAACAGCCCATGCAGAGTCCGCTGCCCCGACTGTTCAGCGTTGCCGATGTCCATGCTGCTACCCAGGCCGCTCAGAATGGGCAACAGCCCAGCGGCAATTTGCAGGACAACTGCCCTCCTCATTTCTCTTTAATGTTCAAAAAAATTATGCTCGAGCAGGAGCGAAATGGCGCTAAAAGACGGGAAATTTATGGTTTCGGGGCTGCTAGTGGAGACAGTACTTTGTTAGCCATTGTTAGCGAGCCAATAACTTTTCCGGAGATAGACTTCCATGTGTAAACACCCTGTGTAAAACCCTAAAACCCTAAATAACTAATTTTTTGAACATTAAATAGAAATGAGGAAGTCCACACTAGGGCGTCTCAAAGTTAATTGGACCTCAGACCTGCCATTAACTTTCAATCCTAGCACTAATTCTTTGGCGGGCAACTTTTAGGAGCTGGTTTGTGCCTTCTGACCACAGGCCTTTGACATGAGCAGCTCCTTCCTGCAAACGCCGCGTTGACTTGTGCACGCCCCACACCGACAGCCTCAGAAGGCCGCCAATTTGTAATGGAGCCCGCGATTAAACAGGAAAAGCGTACGATCCATATTTTTCCTTACAGACCTTGACAATTAGCAGCAATTAATACCTGGCGTTAAAACAAAATACGAAAACCATTTTGGTTTCGGCGCTCCTTAGTGCAGCTAGTGGAAACACCGTCACACTAGCACTACACCAAGTCCACACTAGCCCATAGTGTACCGAAGATAGTGTGCGCTCAAGTGGAAACACCCTGTAAGTCAGAGCCAGTCCAGAGTCAGAAAAGGTCAGCTCCGCGTCAGATGTTATATTTCGCAGTAAGTGGAGGTCTGTTAGCGCGTAATAGCGGCGAGAACCGACAGGTTACAGGACGGATTCGCTCCGTCAAGGACTGGACTCTGTTCTGAGTAAGGAGCGTCAGAAGCGTAGGCTTCTGGAATCACTCTCACTGGTGTATCGTTGGTTTGATACCTAACCCAGGCTTCCTCCTGAGTATAAATACTTAGGAGGCCGTAACAACTTTTATTGTACGATGTCTCTTCAGATCTACATTGGTCGCTCGAACCGATGTGTCTGTAGGTATCTCAAGTTCGTGTCATTCCTTGGTTAGGAAGCACGTCTAAACTCTAAGACATTCGTAGACTGTTCGTAGCTCAGTCTTATCAAGTCGTGCCTTAATCACGCAGCGATTAAGTTCTGTAACGCTCTAACGCGCTACAATATCTGCCCCCCTTTGTAGGCGCCTGCGTCCACGCGGCGCGCAGTCCAATAGGCATCAATAAGAGATCTGTCGGGGAACGCAGGTTCTTCAATCCAACTGTTGATGTTGATGTTGTTACAGGGTGGTTAAGCTTCACCAATGGCCTCCTTCCCGAGGCAATTCCCTGCTCTCCCCTGCTAGAGGGGCACCCTAAGCCATTCACCCCATCCGATTTCAGAGTGTACTCTTTGAGTTTGGCAACTCACCACCAGCATCCAACCAAATCTAGCGGATTAACGGCGCGTCAACTTAGTTCCTGGTCAGCTCGCGAGTTGATTTTATCACGTCCTACACCGTCCACAAGATGGGGGTCACCTCCCAATTCACCTCTCAGGCACCCCGAGAGGTCGGCAGGCGGATTTGAACACGGACGCGCGGGGACGCGACGGGAGCAGAAGCCAGGCCTTAACCTCTGCCAGCCGCCGCCGCCCAACTGTTATTCTCATGTCCATGACCAACCCATTTCACGAGATATCGTGTCAGGGTTCGGTTTCGGAGTTTCCGTTGATCATGATCTAGAATGCGTTCAGGTGTCCATACAGAGGTAGAACCTTCAGGTTCAATTCTGACTGTAGGTCGAGGTGGTTGTACGGTGCCATCAGATCGATAAGGCCGTATCAACGATACATGGAATACGTTATAGAAACGATATTCCTCTGGAAGAGTCAATCTAGCGGCAGCAGGATTGATCATCTTCTCAATCGTGAAAGGTCCAATCCATTTAGGCATCAGCTTCTTCGAACCTTTCTGGAGGGTTAAGTTGTAACGTGCAAGAGCAGTTACATAACTCTCCTTCTTGGAGTGCAACATTTGGAGCGGAATACCGCAAGAAGTCGTGGGGGTAAAGGAGCGTGTTGACTGGTTGCTGAGTACCGTATCGCTATGGCCGATTGGTGACACCGGATTGGTGAAAATCACCAATCCAATAGCAAAGGATAATCCGGGCTGGGATTGAGCGGCGGCCATCACCAATCCCTGTACGTTTTGGATCTAGGTCGGGTGCCGGACCGCCTAACTCGCAGTGAACGGGGGGCAGTCCGGTTGGCGGCTTTCACCAATTCGGTGGCAATGGGAAAAAGTGGACGGGGTAACACCAAACCGTATCACCAATTCCGGTGTTGGAAAGATTAATTCTAGAAGCGTTTTTTACTTTCACCAATCCAGAAATCACCAATCGGCCATAGCGATACGGTAGACCTCTACCAGAAGGAGCGATAATAACGGCACTAAGAGAGCGTTTGATGAGTGGCTGGGACCATACGCGTCTGACTGTCTTGCCAGAGGAGTACCCATCAGATGGGAAGCAACCGGGAGTGCAAATGGCGAAGTATAAGCACTGGATGGGGCTGCCCTTTTCGGGAGCCGCAGCCGTCATGTGGCCAACACATGCTAAGGTTTTCATTCCTCGTTTAGCACATCGTAAGCTGATGCAGTTTCGTTTATGTTGCTGGGCTTTGGGGGCAAACAGAGCACGAAGGGGCAAGCACCATGTCCCCAGGGGGCAGCGGTTTTGCCACTGTTGTGGTACTAATAGCCGAATTGAGGATGAAAAACACGTGTTATTGGAATGCCCAGCCTATAATGAAGAGGGATTCGATCATCAACAGAGTATGTTGGAGGCCATGCAATGGGAACCCACACGTCTGGCGAGGATGTTGGAACGTATGTGGGCTCACCGAAACTCAATTACCCCCTTTGGACGCTAGTCTGGGCTGATGTGCGGTGTTTTTTCCTTTTCTCCGTGGCTTTTAGGCGTTGTAGTATTGCCCTTGGGCCTTCGGCTCGTATGGGTAGTCTTACAGGTATGGGGTCACGCACCCCCAACCATGTAACACACACACACACATAACTCTCAATGCTTCTCTTCAACGGGCGCAGGACATCGCGTTTGGATGCATCCGCCTCGGGCGCGTATTCAAGATTTCCTGCGTCACTACCTGCGTTGCAAGTCGATTGCGCCATCGACCACGTCTGGAGGATTTTTGCTTCCTAAGTGGGTTACAGCGCGTTGGCGTCCTCTGCTTGCAGGCATGAAAAAGCTTCATGAGTACCACGCGGGGTATCACCTGTTTTCCGTGTCGTCGGGAAAAGGTAAAATGTCTCGTGTGCAGGGAGTTTCCTCGCCGATGGAGTTCTGGTATGATGCTCCTGTCGAGTCTCCTTCCGAGTCGGCTGTTTGCGTTGCGACAACCGTCCCCTTTTCGGTGTCTCCCAGTTTGGCTATGCAGTTTGCAGGTTCTGTTTGCCAACAGGAGGCGACCATCTTGCTCGATTCGGGCAGTCAAGCCGCTCATTTACTCAGCGCAGGATTTGCACGGCGCGTGGGTTTGGTGGTTAAGCCGCCTGACGGTTCGACTGCAGCACCCAAGATCGTCGTGGGTAACGGACAGCCCGTTCCATTTGTAGGCTTTGCTGAAGTGCCTGTTCGTATACAGGGCTATAAGGCTCGCTTGCAGTGCGCTGTCGTTGCATTTAGTCCCGCGTTTGACCTTATTTTGGGTGAACCTTGGATTTCGGCTCTATGGCTATTCTTGAGTTATGCAATAACGCTGCCCGTTTAACTCGTATCTCGGGTCGTCCTGTTTTGCGTAACGGCCCCTTTACACCGATTCCTAAGCCCTCTAGTTCTTCTCCTGAAGTTCTGGATGCAGTTGCCGATTGCTCACTTGCGCAGGCCATGGAGGAGAGTGACACGTTCTACTTATGTCTCGTCTCGGCTGCGGATCCTGTTCCGGATGCTGTCGTTTTGCCGGGGGAGGAGTCGTCACTTCCGCCATCGCAGTCGTCTGTTTCCGCTTTCGCGCAGAAGGTTAGTGACGTCGTGCGCGGCGAGTCACCTGCGGATTTGCGCCTTAAGGCTTTGTTGCTGGAAAAAGCGCATTTATTTCCAGACCAGTTGCCTGCTTCGTTACCTCCTGATCGTAATTTGCCGTCTGTTGTTCCGTTGGAGGATGCGATTGTTACAGTGGACCCCGAACGGGTCGAGTGCAACGCCCATAGGAGCGCCTCCCGCACAACACTGTGGGCCTTATTCAAAAAGAACTCGGCCAGGCCGTACTAACTTCACTGGACACACGGCCTCAGTTAGTACGCTTAAACAGAAAATTGAGGCTCCGACGTGCGCCCTCAAACTTCGTCATTGTACATCGGTAAACGGCAAACAACCATGTCTGCGTCGTTGACATATCCGTTGGAGCCGGGTGCTCGTCCACCTGCTCAACGCATGTTTCGCTATTCGCTCCCTGAGCAAGAGGAAATGCAACGGCAAATTTCGGATCTTTTGGAGAAGGGCTTTATTGAACCTTCGTGTTCGCCCTTTGGTGCGCCTGTCTTGTTCGTTAAGAAGAAGGATGGCACTTTACGTATGTGTGTTGACTATCGCGCAGTCAACAGCCTCACGATCAAAAATCGTTTTCCGTTGCCTCGGATAGATGATTTGTTGGATCGTTTGCGAGGTGCGACGGTTTTCAGCTCACTCGATTTAACGCAGGGTTATCACCAGTTACGGTTAAATCCTAGCGATGTGGAGCGTACCGCGTTTCGCACTCCTTTGGGCATTATCAGTATAAAGTTATGCCTTTTGGCCTGACTAATGCTCCTGCTGTCTTCCAGTCTGCTATGAATCAAGCCTTGCAGGGTTTGCCGTTCGTGGTAGTGTATCTGGACGATATTCTGATCTTTTCGAAGACCGCCGATGAACACGTTGAGCATCTGCGTGCAGTGCTTGAACGTCTGGAACAGCGTCAGTTCTACTGTAAGCTGTCCAAGTGCGAGTTCTTCAAACCGTCCGTTTCGTTTTTGGGGCATATCGTATCGGCCGACGGTGTACGGCCCGATCCTCGGAAGACTGCTGTTGTCCAACAGTGGCCTGTGCCCAAGAATGTTTCGGAGCTTCGATCCTTCCTGGGTCTTGCCAATTACTTCAGGAAGTTTAATCGTGCGTATGCGGCTTTGATTAAACCGCTAACGGACTTAGAGGGTCTTTCCATTGGCCAG